GCCATTCGTAGGAAAGAAACCACTACGTGCTGTGCAGCAATTAACTATCCCACCAGTTTCTATATATAAAAAGTGCATTGCTGGCACGGTGGCAGTTACTTAGAGATAATTTGTTAATGGCAATTTTACCGTTTTATCGTGGAATAATTAAGACGTAATGAAGATGTTCCAATTTATTTGAATTTTTATTTATTCTTAACTGAAAATGCTGAATATAATACTAAATACATTGTAAATGGAATATTGATTGAAAGATTACAGTAAAAATACCGTTTAAAAATATTATCTAGTAAATCTTTCCATTAAATTTGAATTCACAATTTTTTTGAAGGAATCAAATATCATCTGGGACAATTAAATTTTCTAGTCTATGTATTCATGTAAGCGTTTAATTTTTCATAACATTACCTACCTAGTCTTGATTTTATTTCTTTTTGCATTGCTGTTTTATTTTTATGAGAATGTTTATCGCCGGCGACGAAAAAAAATAGTTTCTTAATTATGATAAATAATAATAGAAAATAATATTAACATCTGGAAATTAAAAAGTTTCATTTAAAAGTTTTCCGAGAATGAATATATATATTTTTTATTTCTTTGTCAAAATACCAACAGTGTGGTTTTTATGTATCTCAATAAATCAGAATAGTAGAATAATAGTGATTTGCTATTATTTTTTTGGTAAATGATGAAGCTAACAATGGGATATATTCGGTCTCGCAGGCTGACTACAAATTAAGTTTACTCGTCATTACCGCACTAGCTATGCCGCAATTAAAGCAACGATGGCAGTTTCGTTTACTCGCCCACGATTGCCCACGTCGCGATTGTCCACGCGTTGCAATTGCCCACGCGTTGCGATTATCCACGCGTTGCGATTGCTCACGTTTCGATTGCCTCTCCAAACAAATTTCGTATATTGAAAAAGTCGGTTTTAAATGAATTAAGAAAAAAATTATCAGAGATTATTTGAGACTAAATAATGTTTACTTAATTTTTTTTTAAATAATTTCTAAATAATAGAAAATATTAAAAATAACTTTAACAGCAATAATAACTAAATATTCACATTTCGTCATATCGCTCCCCTCCTCCAAAAACAACTCTCTGGATCTGCCACTGATTAGGCAGCGTAAAGTAACTTGACATTGCTCTCGATAGTTAGCGAAAGATGTCGAAGCACGTTGCATGTTTAGATGCATGTTCTCATAATGCTTATCACGTTGCGTATTTTTAGACGATCTCATTCAGTTCAATAGTGTTTTTTGTTTTGTGTTTATTTTTATTTATTTTTCCAATTCGATTTTATGTGTATTTTTTAGCACATTACTTTTAGCTAGTACATGTTAATTTTTTGAATGATTTAAGCGAAATGTCTTAAAGATATATGTAGGTATATAAGTGTTATCTTATTTTTATTATTTTTTTGTTTTATAAATAAATTACATAACTTGAATATGATTAAATTACAAAGAAATAGATGTTAATATACAAATCTGTATTTAATATTATAGAGAACGATGTGTAGTATGAAAATACTGTTTTATTTGCTTGGAATTTAATTCCAAGGTACCAATTAATTTATTTGCGATACATTGGTGCATAAAGCTATTTAAAAGACTGGGTAGCTAATGTTATGAAAAATTGAACGCTTGCATGAATACATAGACTAGAAAATTTAATTATCCCAGATTTTAAAAAATTCTGCTGTTTTTTTTGTTCTTCATTTTTAGCGTTGCGATATTAAAATATTTATACTTACGCGTTACATTTTTCGGAGTTACTTTTAGTTTTAACCATGTAGAGACAGGAAAAAGCTTTCAAATTAAAATGACATAAAATTTTCGATGGAAATGTCTTTGTTAAATTTTAATCCGATTTTTAGCTGCAATTTATTCTTCTAATATTAAACTCGAACAAATTATCTTGAGTCAATTTTCATTTGACATATTAGTAGTCAATTTTCAAGTGACATATATATATATATATATATATATATTGTATATATATAGAGCTTTGATTACATTCTGTATCTTTAATAATATATAAATATACTTCTGCCTTTCTTGTTTTAAAACGCTAATGTTACCTACATATATAACAATTCATTTGAACGGATGTGAACTGTCAATAAGCGTAAAATCCGAATTTAAAACTTAATCACATCTTACAAAGTACAACTTTACGTTGGAATATCTATAGATAGAAATATTTCCTTTATATAGATTCACGAAAGAAATTTCTTTTTAACGTAAAATTTCAGAGTGTTTTTATACTGGATAATTTTACAAATTGAACCGTTACCATTTTTTCGTTACGTATATAGAAAAGCATATTTATGTCATAGAATGACATAAGCGGTATGCAGACCGCTCGATTTGTACGCGGCTAGAAGTCGAAGGGATGTACGTGTGCGAACTTGTAACAGAGCACCGCAAGATCCGGAAACGCAGTCGAGGGATATGACCTACTAAAGAATGGACGAATTCCCAGGGAATACCGTACACATGGGGCGTTACCGACTTAGACGTCGACGTCTGAAATGAGGCGCGCGCTGCGCCGGAATTTTGCAGTTCCATCGCATTGCTTCCGTCCTCGACCTCCCCCCTTCTTCCTCCCACGGACTCCCCTTTCACGCGGGAGAGCAGTCAGGATCTGCGGATGCAATAAGTTGCGTCGGCTCCTCTCGTATTTCTCCTCGGCTACCGGCCGCGCCGCGCCGGTAGCAGCGTCATGCATTATCATGGTAAGGACCCGGCAGGTCCGGCCATCCCATCTTGACGCGGCGCGAATTGAAGCCTCTCGTGTAGCGTCCCGGGGATCGATTTGTTTCCGGATGTCCGATACAAACGTTATAAAAGAATTTTTCTTATTTCCATTCTCAGAGTGAGAAGAAATGTCGGGACGTTATCTTTATACTCGAGTTTAAATGGCCTGAAAACGTTTGAGCTTACAAAATGTAAATCGAACGCTATTCGTTGGCAGCGGAATTTACGAAGTTACGACTCGCAGGCTCGAAATTACGACTCGCCTACTATCTACATTCTGCTGCTCGCGTACGTTCAAATGTATTTCATGTGAATAACTGTTATTATGATCTCAGCGCGTTTCGGTGATAATGTGCGGAATTTTGCGATGTAATGACTGCGTGAAAAACTTGTTTGCGAAATTTAAATGAAATATTCCGTTACCATTAAAGAGATACAGTTGTACACAGCAGATAAATTTGATATGTTATTAATGTTATTTGACTAGCGCTCTGCCATCTCGTCGGACAAACGACCCCTCGGTATACTCGTAAGATTTGTGTATCTCCGTCTGACGCGGGCGCCCAGGCTCCCTTCGCACCGTATATTAACTACCAACGTCTTGCGGCTAAAAGCGTTTGTTTTCGTTGTGGTTTTCATAACACCGGTGTGTATTCACGAAAATGTGCGCTAAGGCGCGCTAAAGTTTCGTTCTGAATTTGCGCGCGCGGCGATAAATCCGTGTTAAAGGGGGCAAGACAATGTAATATAGTGCGCAAGTTTGCGAGCACGCTATTTGGTATTTCCGCGCTTTCGTTCGCGCTCGATGAACCGCGCGGCGCATAAAGAATAATAAAATAGATGGAACTGACGGTTTTCACGGTTTAACGCGTATAATTCGACTGGTCGTATCCGCGAAAACTTTTGCTTTATGATCTGTCGGATTCGAGCGTGGGACGCGCGCGAATACAATGCAGAAATTCATAAATGCATAAATAAGAACACAATTTCAGGTAACTTTATAATATTTTAACATCCAAGTTAAAAATGTTTCGGGAATCTATTATGTGCGCTCAAAAATTCTACGAGGTACTTTGAAACATTTTTTATATCTGTATTTTTATTTGTGCCGTATTTTTTTTAAAAAAGGATAGAAATATGTTTCACATATCCTTTCAAGCTTTAATTTTCTTTTGATAAACATTAATTAATGATACGAAACGGAAGGCAAAAGAGAATTTATAGTTTAAAAATTGTAACATAAATTCCACGTACAAATATTTATGTGTATTTATTACGTTTATTACGAAGATACGTGTCTGTTTTCTTTCTCCTCCCCCCTCTTCTCATTAATTTATCTGGAATCGATTTATGATATGTCAATTATTCGCCTTCGAGCAGTAATAAAGTGGGAAATAATATGCCTGTCGATATTCGTAGCTTCTCCCCCCCCCTTCCCTCTATTCCCGTTTATCTTCTTTCCTTCTTCGTTCTCTTTGCCTCTTGTTCTAGCTATTAACCGTTATCGAGATGATTCTTATCACATGAGAGAGGAACTCGTTAGCGCACGAAGACCATAAATCGCGGATGGGAAACAACGGAGTTCCGTTCGGCTTTCACGAATACGAGAGGGCTTGCCTAAGTCCTCCCCCTATCGGAAGCATCTCGATAGTTATCAACGGTCGTTTGATATCATTCACATTCTGCATTAATACCCTCGGCGATGTTACATACGTAAGTGGCAATATTACTGCCCGTGTAAATAGAAAGATTATTAAAGATTATTCCTGGGTCATTAGCGAGCACTGTATAAACCACGTTTATTTCTTATGTAGATACATAATGTGGCCCAGAAAATGAGAGTACATAATATCGGAACGTTTTATAATTATGTGTCAATAAATTAAAAAGATTATCATTGGCAATTTCATTGTCTTTGAAAAATTCATATCACAATTGTAGCAATTAAAAAAGAAACTATTATGAAAGAACACGTATTCATGAGTTTGAAAAGTGCACTTGTCGATCCCGGTCTTATTATTGGCTCGGGCAATGCGAGCGAGGACGATCATTAATCACGGTAATTTGTTTAACGTGTCAATTGATTATCGACTCGAGCCGATCAAACACGGGATTTTCTAAGGCTAGGTTTCTAAAAGCGAGGGATTTCAAGTTGCACGACGCGTCTTTTTTTTCTTCGCGATGCCATCGCATTCTTTCCGAGCGAACGTCGAAGAGGAAAGCATCGCTTACCGATCGGCTGTATCAGGTAGCGCAGCGATGCCAGCAACGGCAGGATCAATAGAAACGGGGCCATGACGGCTTCGATTCAGACGTCCATCTCGCGTTCATTCACGAGGCCGGTTCTGCAACAGAAAAAAAAGCGCACGCAACCGTATTAATAGCCCCACCGCAGTCTTCCCGGCGCTGAATGCACCGCAATGGGCTCTTCATGTCGCGGAAACTGGCGTTCATTATTTCGATAATCGATCAAGTATCGTCCCGGGCGGACGAATCAATTCATCCGCTCCCATTTCGCGCCAATGGCAAGCATCTGCCTTTCATCCTTTATCCTCTTTTCCTGTCAGAAGCATTTATTGCATTTTTGTTGTGCCATTTTGCGGACATAAAGAGCTTCTTGCCCGTTAAAGGTGAACTATCTTTCATTTATAACAAGATTCAAACTGATATGAAATGCACATCAGTTTCAAAAGAATCTGTTTGACATAATAATATCAAAATATATTGATTGATATATATTATTATATTAAATATTTAAATATCCTTATTATCTTTCTTAATAGATATTTTAAGTAAGATATAATATTAATCTTGTTTTACTTAAATAAATTCGTTTCTCTCTCTCTCTCTCTGTCTCAATATTTTTATGACGTAGTTTAGATTTTACAATTATCAATATGATAACGATATAATCCTATTAAAAATATACAGTTAAGTTTTATACTAAATATTTACATTTAACACAGTTTAACATTTTCGAGAATTTTATGTATTTGTGTTTGTGTATATAATATTTATCAAACTTTTACAATTTACGATAATTTAACAGTTCACAGCTGGTTATGCAAACACATATACTAATATTATCTGTTTTTCCCGTGATTCATAGTTGTTCTGACCTATTGCTTTTTATTCGCGGGTGGCAATATTTGTCGAGAACGCATTTGCGAACTTTTCCAACTATGCCAACTCTCTCGTAAAACCGGCGGTTTTTAATGGTATTCTCGTTGGTAACAGCGGAAAACGAGATGGATAGTGCATCCGCAATGCACTTGACTGCGCCTGCCACTCGAAGCGGCTGGGCTTTCTAATGTGGATCATGTTCAGTCATTATTAGCTCAAAGGAGAAGAGGGCCACCGCGGAAGAGAGAACAAAAGGCGAATGAGAGGAATAATGGGGGCAAAGAGCTTTCTAACGAGCCTCGTCATATCCGCGGGCTACGCGTGCCTTTGCCGGAATTACGGTTGATACTCGTCACTACGGCATCGGTTGCAGCGTTGCATATCAGCGAGCAATGGAATTAAGTCGATATAATACCTATGATTAAATTCACTCGCCGCGTTTATTCGACCGAGTCGCGTTGGTATATCCAAATAGAAGCATTTGGTTTCGAAATTTCACGCCGATATACGTATATGTGTCGGGGGCGAATCGCGTAACTTAATACATATCCGATAGCACCAATCACACTATCAAATGAATCAAAGTAATATATGAAACCTATGCAAGAGTGTATAAGAGAAAACCTATTTGCGTTATTCATATATATTTATTTACATAGTGACCAATTACGAGATCATATCAAATAAAACTTTTAGGACGATTCTTCATCGATTATTCATAGATACGAAGAATCAGTTATTTATTAGTCTATCTAATGAAAATTGTAGACTTCGAAATTAATTAAATTAATTAAATATTCAAAGAAAAGATTATTAATATTTTTAGTTATTGAAATAAAAGATGGATAATATATAAATGTGTGACAACTTTTTATTTATTATATTACGTTATAAGAATTTGTCAAATCGCACGAAACGCATCGGTTATCAGAAATATCTCTTCTCACACAAAATAGATTGATATCGCCCGCAAAGTAATGGAAAAAATCTCTTTTTTTTATTACATTTTTTGATCGATCTAATGTTCCTAAATACATCTTGTAGCTTCGTGCGGCACGAACTCGTATACCGCTGAAACACCCTTACTAACAGATATACGACAAATGCGTTCCCTTGTCACGGATGTTGATCGACATCGACGACGGATCGACAATGTTAATCTGTCTCGTCGAAGGGCTGCGCCCACACTGCCGTCCATTCCCATGTTGCTCGCATCAGCTGTGCGGCAGCACAGGAAGTAACTTTCGTGTACGCCATTTCGTTGAAAAGGATGTTCATGCTGTTGGCCAATTTTTAGCGAAGTTGTTTACGTTCGCGGATAACGAGCGAGTTAACTACGAGTTTATATACATCCGAGTAGTTAAATGCTAGGTATAAAATATTTCGTTATTGGTTTCACCCTCCGGAGATGAATCTGACATTATCTTTATTTCTGCACGATATCTTTGCTTCTACGTATAAAAATATGAGACAGAGTTTTTAACGAGTTTATTAATAAGTTAATATTAAAATTTAAATACATTTTCTCTCTGTCTCTTATCGTGTACTAATTATAAGTAAAATAATCTAATTTTTCCCAAGATCGATTGCGAAACACACCAATAATTATCTTACGTTCGCACAATTCTAATTTAACTTCTTATTAATTAAAAACAGAGTTTTAAAATAAAATGAACGTTAGATTCTTATCGTAAAAAAAGCAGAGAAGAGTATCAATGATGTAATATCAATCAAATTTCTTTCATTCGAGATAGCGAAAACATTGATATGTTGATATCTTCGTTTCTTGACATAAAAAAAAACTTGAAAAAAATTTTGCGCAAGTATGCCAGATTTGTCAGGCTAACAGTTACTTAGATATCGCGCGTTTTAGGCCAGATTATAGGATTTACTTATCACGCGAACCTCGTCATCACAGACCTATCTTGAATTACGTAAACCGCGAACGAGGATCATATCAACTGGATTGATTTCAAGCGTCGAGCAGCTTTAGCGCGGACGAGAGGCATCGCATTAATCGGATGGACGGAAACGCAGTTCACGCAAGAGTGGGAGGGATAGGGGAAGGGGGGGGGGGATGCGAGAAACGGAAACCGCGTAGCGCGTATAATGCCCCCGAAAAAAGTGCAGTTACGTACGCGGCAAATCACGCTGGCCACGAAGTGACGCGTGTGCTGCAGTAAATTCGCTTTCGCTTCATATTTCACGCACGGTGACGCGCACGCTCGGCATTGTTTCCACCGGTATTTTCGCCAATCTCGACCGCTCTTCTTCGTCCGATCTGCGGACCGTCGCCCTCGCGGGTCTCCTTTCGGGATAACCCGTTCCCTTTTGTTCCCGCTCCGATGACAAACGGTTAGCTTCACCGAGTCGTTCGAGGATGGTTTAGAAATTATTAAGCTTGTAGACTTTCTGACGCAGCAAGAGCGAAGAAAGAAAGAAAGAAAGAGATCGATGCTCTCTTTCCCGCGCGTTGCAGCGTTTTCTTGCGGCGTTAACTTTATCTTCTCGTTCTGTCCTCCGAGCGATTTTGTGTATAATCGACAAACATTCATTTGCATCTCTTCTCACATTCGATTTTTCTTTTGCATGAATTTCTACGTGAAGAAATTAATATGACATTATCGTGATAATAAGCTGAGCCTATTATTGATTAATGACGTCGATTTGTGGTGCTAGGATAATTACTATTGAATTAATTAATGTTTGATGCATATATAATTACATATTTTTAATGTAGTTAATTAATAGCTTATGTTTTAATCTAGTGCAGCGAAGTGAAACTAATAAGCAGCCAATTGTGGCCTAGTGTTTAATATCTATAATAGGTTGGGACGCAATCAAAATTTGATTTAGTTGAAATTATGTTTATATACAGTGTATAAAGAAGTTAGTATTGAAGTTTTTAATTTTTCTACGAAGATATACGGATATAAAGCATTTAAGACTTATGAGTAGTTTTTTGTTGTATTTTTAAAAGGATGCGGGTATTAACATTTAAAGCAATAAGACGGAAACTTTGTACTATCTACAGTAAATTAGGCAAAAATTAGGCATGATAATTAAAACTTGAAACTCAACGAATAGCCCCGCGGCGGCGAAAAATAACGTCATAGAATTTTGGCGTAGGTTGGCGATGCGATTTCTTCAAGAAGGTAAAACTAATTCTTCCCATGTCGATTCTTTATGGAATTCCAGGAAACGCGAATAGTCGTGTGGCACTCGGGAAATTCACGAGAAAATCCATTAATATCGATCAGCAGATGCCGAGGAGACCACGTGTTGATAATTTGCGAGCGGGCAATGATGAATGCAAATCGCGCGACGACGTCGCATGAATATTTGCCGACGCGATTTACAATCTGCCAGATAAGACATTTGTCTTTTGTGTTATATACGGAACAATTTAGAAGTGACGTGCCGGGAATTGTGTTTTATTACTGTATCGTGAATGTGAAAATGAATTTACATGACGAGTGAGGAGAACACAATACAAAATATTAAAAAAATATTTTTTGTTTAATATTTTGAATATTAATAATAGTCAATTATATATATATGTGTGTATATATTATATATGTATATATTATATACATATATATACGTATATATTATATACATATATATAATATCTTATTTGTTTACAAAATAATTAATTATATTAATTATTTATTTATATAAAAGTACAATTAACTTTGTATTTAGCCAGTTGAATATATCGGCTCAATAACAATTTATTAAAAAGAATCTTTCTAGAAATTTGTGTTCACATCACAATCAATCGGTGACCTTTTCTCTCCTAATTGTCACGTCCGCTGAAGCATGAACCGTTTCGAACAATTAGACTTTTATTGAAGGACTGTGCTCCAATTATTTCGTTGACACCGTGTCTTTTTGCTCCTGCGAGAAAGAAAGGATCCCCGTTTGTATTTCACGTTTCCACTAACTGGCGCACACCTCGAACTAATTTGTCGGCATGGCGTGTCTCTTGATTCCCCCCCCCCCTCCTCCTCCGACAGTCGCAATACAGTGAGACCCGGGTGGCTGTCCGCCTCGACGAAAATCAGCGAGATTTACGTCCATTCGCCGGAACGTTTCTGTACGTAATCGTGTAATAAAATGCGACCGAAGCGTCGTTGCACGACAGGCATTGTTTCCACGACGAAAATTCCAGGCGTCTTATAAACGTCAGGGGCATCAGGACCATACAAATTGTTTGCGACAAGGATATTTGACTCTCCCCCTTACCTCCCCCTCCCGTATTTGTGCCCGTCGAGCTTGGAATAATTCACGAGCCCGTGGTTTGCAACCGTTACGGTTTAACACGTATGGTTTAATACGTCGAATGCCGTGGTGAATGCCGCTGTCGGCTACGATGTTTGACATTGACGGAATTTTGATGCTGTCCACGGCCGTTGCGATCGCATGGTTGCTGTCCTATAGGGAAGATAAGTCGTAATCAAGAAAGACGCGGTAGCATCTCGTGCCAAGTATCTAAACGTGCGGCGTGAGATTACCGTTATTGCTTTACTGAATTCGCTTTTATGAGGTTATACATATTTAGCGGATATTAACCCAAGGTTATATTTGCAGAACTCTTTTGAAGTAGTTTATTATTCACTTATATATCAATTAATTATTTTTATGTGTATGTATAATTTATAAATCTTCAAATTTTCTTAAAGTTAAATTGAAAAGGTTTACAGAAAATCAATCTTTTATAATAAAACGAATACATTTATGTGTTACGTAATTCTCACATATACATGTAAATTTCAATAGTACGAGTGTTAAAATATACGTGAAATATATTAAAATATTGGAGACCAAGGCTTCGTAGTTATTTAAATTTGTTTTCGCCCGTATTTATACCCAGTCTATTTCGCCATAGCGGAAGTTCATTTCGCTTGTCGTCATTTTATTATTTGCAGTAACCTGATGTCTATTTGATAAATAGATTATCTTGTTTAAAGAAGACAAATATTTTAGTCCATTTATAGATTGCAATTTTTCAGAGTCTTGCGCGAGTACCACCTTAAAAGTAACATTTTATTTTACAACAATAAAATCATATTAACAATTATTATATATAATCATTAATAAAATTCCAAATAATTTCTATTATTTATCATCGATTAATATATCAATAATTGCGTTTTCGGATATCTTACCGGGTTTCCCTTCTTATTCCAATTCCAAGGCCAATCCCAACCCCAACCCCTCGAATCTTCATTCTTGTATATGATAGACATATTCCAAAGATTGCTATAGACTATTACATTTTTCACTGATGTGATCGGTCCTGTTTGACTTGACAATTTAAACGCGAGTTCACTTTGTTTATTAGCCCTTTCTTTATTTGGACATTCTAGTAGCGTGCATATTTTTATTTTATAGACTTCTTTTCCCGCTGCAGGAGCATAATACAAATCTAAAACATTTATAAAAAGATAATAGGAAATAGCGAAATGCCGCTGATTATTTGCAGGAAAATTTTCTACGTTTTTGGTTTGTTTTATTATTAGTGTGCTCAGCAATAGATGTATAAATATTAATTAAACAAGAAAAGGATATTGTGAATGGAAATAGTGTAAATATTAAATATTTAAAGTTAAAATTAAAATTCTTGACATCCGCCATTTGTATAATGAGCTCAGATATAATTGAAATAATATTCTTTGTCTTAAAAAGTGAATACTCGCCTTTGCCAATGACTGTCATGCTAGAGATTCCGCCATTGTAAGTAAAATTTTGGCCTGCTATGGAGAAATGGGGATCAGTTGGTTTCATGCAATCAGATTCCACTCTACACATACGCCTTGTAGACGAGTCATATATTACTATACCGGAACCTTGCGTGTCAGCCATAAATACCTGTGTATATTTATGTGTGTATTGAATTATTTAAATAGCATAATACGAGATATATATAACTAAACGTGTAACTGAACAGATATAAATATTATTAAATATATATAATATATTTACACGAGCGATTATGTATTGTGATTAAAAGATAGAATATACTAACAATCATTTCGTCCAGTAGCCGATCGCATTTTCCGGAGGGAACATAAACAAAAGGCGTCACCAACAATCCAGAGCCCGTTCGATTATTCGCGATAACAGGAGGAATATCAATCTTTTGAACAAGCGTATCATTTTTTAAATTAAAGATCAATAGTTTTGGATTACAAACTTGGTTGGTCCCGGTTTTGCCGTTATCCAGAACGAAGATGTGATTGCATAGAATCTGAGGTGAAAGTAAAAATTCTATTTTATGTATTGTGTCATCAAGTTCACTATTGTGTGTGTGCATTTATTGTAAGTGCGCGTAATATATGAATTGTTGGTCATTTAAATATTAGTCTTTTTCCTTAATTCTTGTTATTTGAATAATAATATACAAATGTAAGATGTGAAAATGGATGGAAGATATTAATACTTACATGCACTCGGGCAACATTTACAATATTATTGCACGTACTACTACTACTATGCCAACCCCAATTTGGATATGGACGTAAAAGTGGACCTGATCCTGATCCTATCTGAGTAGTTACTGTCGCCAAAGTAGCAGGTGAACCAGGGCCTTGTTCGTTTGGTGTGGTAACGAACAATCTACCATCTATAAGAATTTTGTTTGTAATCGGAATTTACGTGCTACTAAAAAAAATATTTACTTTATGAATTTTATTAAAGTAACAATGCTAATCGTTGTATTAACGAAGTATATATATTAAAATGTATAGATCACGTATAATGCGATTATATATTAGTTAAATATTATATGCCTTACTAAATGTATTCACATTTCTGTACAAAATTATTTCAATTTTTTTGAATAGTCTCTGGTATCAACTTACCTTCTGCTTTGTCTACATCGTATAATAAACATTTGGATGTACTGTAACGGCCAGCATTAACCGTATCTATCCTGTGCTTCGAATTGTCCCAAGTAAAATCAACATATTTCCATTCCTTTGTAACCTTCACGTCAAATCCAAAGCTCACAATCGCCGTCGACAGAATTAACAGGGCCAACAAAGAATGCTTCATTTTATACTCTCTAAAAGTGGAAGCATCACTGATTTTTAGTGTTTATCATTTTCCAGTAGCATACTTTAGAACTATAATAAACAGTGACTATTTAAATGTTGTTTCAGTGATAATGTACTGATTCAAACAGTGAATATCACTGAAAGACAGTGAATTTCAGTTCTCAAAACTGTTTGACAGTGAAGCTCATTGTTTTTCAAGTGATATTCTGTGAATCAGTATATTTTCACTGAAACAACATTGAAATAGTCACTGTTTATTACAGCTCTAAGTACGCCACTGGAAAATAATATACATTGAAAATCAGTGATGACTCCATTGATTCACTTTTAAAGAGTAATGGATAGCGCCATAATGTTGTGCCACCCAGGATCAAAACGGAATTTTCCGTTTCGAAATATGATTTGTCTTGTGAGTTGGAATTCCAAATCCCAAGAGATATATATATAAAGGTGTGTTCTTGCTGCAACTATCAGTCTTTTGATGTAGTCGCAGTAAAATATTACAAAGATATTACAATTAAGATATTGTCGGAACTTTCATAAGTTCGTGACACGCACTAAACAGGTTTTCGAAAAAAAATGGCTCTAATACGTTCTCTCTATTTTTATTGTTAATAAAGTAAGTTTTGCAATGCTCCAATGCTCCACTTTGGTTTTGGTAACGAATTGCATTTGGTCCGTGAAATGTAATGAATTACACTAATTAGCAAATTTTTAAAGATAGATATGCATGCCTTTTAATAATTGGAGTGCAACAATAAAATAATATAACTGAATTACCAGTAGCCACGTATTACAGTTGCGAGTACGACGTTCGGTTGCTATTTATACCTTTGATGGAATATGTACGAAAACGCTTTTAGACAACCTCATTATATATTCCATAATTATGATTGTAGCTTCGTTAAAAAAGTTTTTCGAATGGAAATATGTTATTATAACATTTATAGATGATGACACTTTTTACGCCTGCATGACATTTACGTTATAGTAATTATACGAGTTGTTATCTTATCATTGAGGAACGTCATTTTAAATCTGAATCAATGCATATGTCACTGATTATCAATGATTCATTGAATGCGTCAGTCCCAACTATATCACTGGTAATCAGTGAAATGCAACTTCATTGATTCTCGGAAATCATTAAGAAATAAGTAAATAATTTGATAAATTAGTGGACTTCGCTGTTCTCGCTAATTGCACAGCGGCTCTGTTTTACTTATTTATTAGCAATACAAGACGTTAAGTTAGGTTAGGTTATAGTTACTGCCTTAATCAGTGACAGTCAGTAACTTTTTCAGTCAGTAACTGATTCAGATTTAGAGAGCAGGAACGAAAATTTTGTTCAAATTTTTCACTATCGATCTTTATAATATTTGAAAATTTTGTTATTTTATTTGTCTAAAATTTTTCTATTAATTGTAAAACAAAGAATTATTTTACAATGAATTATTCTGTGACCAAAGTCCAAATTTGCACTTACAATTAGCGTTCTTGTTAATGAATAAATGCTCTCGATATTTTAAGATAAAGCAAACACGAGAGATCGCGCGTAATAAAACCAATTACATGCTTTCCTTTTTTTCTAATTCAAGTAATCGATTTGTTGTTAATGCAAGGACAACGCATAGATTCTTGTCTACTGTAATACTGACATCGCTGTAAAATGGATTAAAAATAAATCGCTTGACCGCTAACAGGCATTTTTGACGGCACAGCAAAAATCCCATTCATTTTAATCCGGCTTAAAAATGCAAAAAAAGGGACTCGGTATATCAAAATCGGAAATGCGGCAACCGAAACAAATGTTAAATTTGATCGGCGAAACTGATGAGTGCACGCGCGAAACCTAAAACTCTCTTTCTCTTTCTATTTCTCTCTCGGCCGCGCTAAAATATCGCGCGCTGGCAAATCATCTGGCTCAGCCGGCGAGATAACATCGTTAATCGGGAATTAAATTATTTCGGCGAGCCAAAAGCTATTTACCACCCGGCGTGATTATTTTCCGCGGCCGTATTTCGTGCGCGCGCGCAGAGAAAGGAAATAATGAAACGAGCGAGAATTATTCGGGAAGTATTATTCGTGTGCGCGCGCGTTTCAATGCACGTCTGATCCGCGATTAATCCGTCGCAATTTACGCCTCGGCGACCGGCGCCCCCGCAAATTCGCGGACCGCAAATCAATGATAATCCCTCGATCGACATGTATATTCGCGCTCGGCGTGAATTTGCAACGCTTTTGTAAATCGGTCCATTTCGTTGTCCGCCCGCGGCTACGGCGACGTATAAAAATTATGGAGACGACCGGATATATGTATCGCGCATGGTTCGGCTTTTGCGATTCATTGCGTGACATGGACGAGAATGTCTCGGTGCGATACGCTTAAAGAAATCAAATTTAATATCATTTTTTTTGTCTCAATAAAGGCCCATCTACATAAGTCGCAAATGCAAAACGCAAACGCAAACGCGGACGTTTCTCTCATTTTTTTGGTTTTTTCCTCCGTGTTTGCGTTTGCTTATGTAGACGGGCTTTAAGCATTGAAAGAACTGCGAAACTATAATACTCAGGGAAATGTTCCAGTTAGAATTCTAAATATTACACTTAAATTATATCGCTGTTTTTTGTATCTGCTAAAAAATTGTCTGTCACGTAGAATTTATAGCAGCAATATTCTAAGATTATATGCAAGAAAATATAGATCTCATAATCAAATATGATTGGAGTCTGGATTGGAGTCTGGACTGATTAAACGTCAGTCATCATAGAGAAATTTTCTTGCTAAATTTGACAAATAATTTAGATATAATTTCTGTCTCTGTTATCTATATTGATTAGATACAAAACATATGGTATCCTAGTGCTTACTAATCATTTATCCGTTTTAGCTAATTTTTCGTATCTAAATAATTCTCGCTATAATTGCAAGATTATTTTTTTTCAGTGAGTAATCAAACCCTGTATTTATTTCGTAACAAAGTTATAGTTATTTTGCTTTATTATAATAAAATAATTTTTTTTAGTAAAATTGATTATTATTATTAGATTTTATAACTATCATATTTTTATTATAATTAATGGTTGCAAAAATTATTTCTTGCTCTTGAAAATTTTTCGGTTTTTACCGCAGATTTTCCGCGATAACTAACTCAATTAAGAAAAAAAACAAAAATAAAAAATCAAATTTAAGGGAAAATATTGAGAGGGAAGCGAAGGGATTGCGGGTAGGTAACAAGTGGTAACCGTGCTTGTGACACGCAACAAGCAAACTCCGATATAACCGCGACGTCGCTGAAGCGTTTGGATCGCTCAAGCGTCACGGATACTCCCGTGGAAAGTTAACCGGAACTTAAAGGAAAACACGGGGAGAACTTACGTTAATCCGATTACGCGCGATACGAGATAGGGAAGCAGTTCGGGAGGTCGTCCTTAAACGGGGCAACTTGCGTCATTTTGCATCGCCGCGGTTGCCGAGTTCGCATTAACGCGCGCTATCGTCTATCTTTCGGCGAAGTTGAGGACTCGGTGATTAATACAATAAAATCGGAATCGCGCGCGATAGAAGTGGAGTTTTCTTTCTAATTCCGTTACAAAAAAACGCCGGTTATTTCGATGTGAATAAATGCGTCTCCGTGAATAAATGCTTTTAAACACGACATAATTGTGACAATGAATAATCTCGTCCGAATAGTTCCTCTTCATCGCCTTGCGCTTAACTTTGAAGTCAGTGCTTACGTTATTTGCAATTTTATAGTGTTTGATAGTAAGTCACTCCTGTTCATTCTGCTCGACAAGAGTCGGCCGACAAGAGTTCATTCTGCTCGGCCGTCGAGCTACCTTCCTGACGTTTAAGCTGAAATGTAAACGCGCATTACGCACAATGTGTCGTCGCTGCATTTAATCCGCCGCGCAACGGTCTCAGTAAAAAAAATAAAAAAAAAAAAATAAAAAAAAAACGAAACCGCGAGCGAGATGATGTAACGTCGACCATATCGAAATATCGATTATCGCTTGTGTCGATATACATTTTTTAGGCAATAGGCTCTTGTCATTTCGGTCGATATCGCCATTGTAACGAGGATCCGATAATACCTTCGCGGCGGCGACACGCATTATTCTATCACATTTTCGTGATAACGTACGAACTTTTTTCTACGAAATATATTAGCATATACTAATAAATATATATTAGACTTTATTGTGCTCATTTTATGTTTCGCTAACTTATAAGACGTACGAAATGCGCGTTCGGACAGACAATTTAGACAAAATCGTCATCTACGATCGGACGTTGGTGGCGGCTGCCCTCGTATTATTCTATAAGAGAGAGAGATATAATTTTCTGAAAATATTTAGAACTGAAAGCAAATGTGATACGCATTTGAAATATCCGGGACGCGTACGATAAATTTAAACTTCTGTTTTTCTGTTTCAAATGTTATTTCGGATGTCTTTGAAAAGCCGGATCAGTTGCAACGACGGATATGTCACAATGGAAATGTTTATGTCTCCGTCAAAAGCGGTTTTCCATTTTTAATGCGCTGAACAATGAACGAAGTGAATATCTGAGAAGTCTTGTTTCTAAATTTTCGTCCCCAGTCGCAGATCGAATTGTATAATTATTAAACGTCATCGTGCGATCCGCGCGAAAGACAATTTGATCGTATAAATATCTCAGTGATTTTCTTTCTAATTTCTTCTATTTCGAATAGTAATACATTTATATTACATACGATATGTACTCTTTTTTTATATTCTTTATATTATTTTATATTGTTTATATTGTTTATATTGCTACGTTTGATTTGGATAAAATTTTGAAGCTATAAATTGCCGTACTTTTGCACGTACATACGTCGTCGCATCTGTCGCATAATAAGCGTCACAAGTAATATTCCGCCAAGTGAGCGATGTCCGCATCACCGGACGATTTCCGTCCCGTTTTCCGCAAATCGCACCGCGACACATACCTTTATTTGCGCCCCGCATCCCGCCGGACGAGCCTATCGAGCGTTGAACGACGAGAAAGAGAGAGAGAGGAGGAAGCGGAAGCGTTTCGAAATATCGACAGAAGGCAGATTTGACACTCGTCGAAAATACGAACGATGCGAATGGGCGGCGAACAAAAGAATTAGAAGCCCCGATATGACCCCGCGAGCCGTCAAAGATTATGAATGGCTAGACTGATTGCGATCAATAACAGATCCGTCCCGAAACGTGGTGCAAACTGAACAGTCAACGATCCTCGCTGTTACGAGCCTTTTTGGCACGCACGAGACATACACTTTGGTGTATTTTAATTGTATCGCTGGAAAAGTTCAATCCAAAGTTATATAAACCCCCCATCGGTATATTCGCAACATTTACGTCGGTCTCTGATCGCGAAGCAAAGAGAGAAAGAAAGAACGGCTTAAATTCGGGGCTTCCCAATCTCCGAACATTTTCCACCTCTGCGCCTAGGGCGCCGATCTCACGTACGTCGGAAATACATCTGGCGCGCGCGCGGAGAGATCACGCCCGTCGTTATCACGTACGGGTCGTTAAACCTACCGTGTCGGTCGTGAACTTTCGAAATAATTGCGAATCCGTGGAATTCGATTACCGGCCTTCGTGTCGCGCGCCCGCGCCGCGCGAGGGGAAGAAACGGGTCATGGCGGCGAGGGAGAGAAATATGGAGGAAGAGTGAAACGCGCGATCGAAAATGCAATCCAAAACGCGGCGCAATTGCGATCGCTCGCGCCGCGTTTATATACGCGCGAGCGTGTCCCCGTTTTTCAAGGGTAGGAGGGGGCGCGCGGGATCCTTGTTCGTTCCGTCCCGCGCCGTGTGAAACTTTCATATTGTAACGGCGAAACTTTTCGCCATCGAAGTTTTGTCGCTTTTCCTCTCGCACGACGAACGCGGCGATCGGTAAGGCGCGGGATACCGATCGCGCGTGTGTATGTATCTCTGAGGCAGAGAGAGAGAGATATCGAATGGGAAAGTCGAAACACGTGGAATAAGTAACTGGAACAGTATATTCCTACCGCTCTCTTCGGATCGTAGGTGAACGAGTAAATAGATAAGCGAAAGACAAGAATATGGAATAAATTCGGGATGGCATTTTATGCTACAACGAAAAATTAATTAAAGTTTTTATAAAACTACGGTTTATTTCATAGAATCGGCTATAAGCAAGCGAGTGTAATTTCTGTGGTATAATTTCGTGAAATCAAAGCAGTCGCGATATATTTACCGTTGTGCATTTATTGTACTGTACTTTTAGAAAAATAGTTACATGCTCTATATCTCCACTTTTCTTACCTTCCAGTTTTAATAATAATACTTTATCCCCCTGCATAATTTATAGGAAGTATAATTCCGTTTCTAGAACTGTGTGCTTTTGTTTCTTATCGAGTAATATATTTCTCTGCTACAGATAGTTTTCTAGACAGATTTCTAGAGAGCTACCTCTTATAATATTGGATAATAATAAAAAACTCGCTTTCTCCTTCTCTTCTCTTTTTTCTTCGGCTGCAATAATTTCTCTTTTAATATTATTATACGTGCAAATTGATATTAGATAACAAAAGAAGATAAATAAAATACAGGGTTACACAATGGATGATCGAATATTTGCATTGCCGTTCACTCTTTCTCAAATCGAATTCTCTGTTCGATTCTGCATTCCCTTGAGATCACCGGGTAATCCCTCTTCTCTCTATAGCACGAGTGTACAGAATGTGAGTTTGGGCGGTGATCGGGAAGAAATTAATGAACTGCATCGCCGCCGGTACGTTAATGCATGTCGCTGAAGCGAATGGAGGAGAATTCTCTGAAATATCATTCGCGTTTGTTATATCTCACAGATCGTTTAAACGAATTATGCCATTTGCGACGGAGAGAAGTCTACCGGCCGGACGAGTACGACACCGATGAGCCCTGCGAATGATATGACCGCCGCTTTTAATTGGATTATTGGATCTGCGACGATAACGAGGAAGAATGGTATGAAAGATTGGCGTTTTTTTATAACTGTGCCCGATTCAAACTGATCGTTCGCGCTTGAAATTGCGCGTAACTCGATTCGTGTTCCGTATAATCGTTTAGAAATTAGTAATGCTGTCGGACTGATATCTTTAACACTTTCCGCATTAATACGCAGAGAGTGCAAACTCGCGAAGCGTGATTTATATGATTTTTATTAAATATTATTTAGGTTTTTGAAATAAATTTAAATTTTAAATATATTATACGAATTTATCAATCTTGATTTAAAGTTTTTAATTCAACATTAATTACTAAACAAAATAGCAGAACAAAAATAGCAGAACAGTTGTTTAATAAAATCATTGTGAAAATTAAAGATATAAAATATAAATAAGATTAAAGAATATAATTGGTGTAATTTTATTTATGTATTGCTTTTTAATTTGCATCAAAGTTTTGTTTAGATAGTAAATTTTCTGTTTATTGGTTAATATTAATCTGAATTAAAAACTATGAATTAAGAAGTGAAACAAATTTGTTTATTTAAAAATTATTAGAATGATTTATTCTGATAATTTATACATAAAGTGTATTATAATTAAAAAAATTTTTTACACTTAAAAATTTATTTTAAATATGGATAAAATAAAATAACAGAATCTGTAAATATTCCGTTATTTTAACATCAAACGAAAATTTATCTCTAAATCTCTGAAATAAAGTCCCTTTGGAAAAAAAGTTTCGAATTTTCTCGCAAATTGAAGCTTGAATATATTGTCATACATGTACATAAAACGTGAAAAAGAAAGAGAACTCGCGGAGAATTTAATCGGACAGGGTACAGAGATATCTCAGATTGAAGTTGTCACTATCTAACGTGAATCGGACTTCTCTTCTTTCTCGACTGTGGTGAACGCCGGGTCGAATCTGGGTTGCGAAAGGATCGAACGGCGTTGGAACGGCGGGGTGTCGTGTCTATTAGAACGGGGCAAGAGTTTTATTGCCAAGCTGATAACGGATGAGGAGTTTTACCTCCTAGTCGGTGCCATGATTCATGAGTCCTTCGCGAAGGATGTAGAAGAGTACGATCCACTCTCCGCTCTTTCTTTCCGTCCGCGGCTTCATCTCCTTTTCCCTTACCTGCCTCGTAAAATCGGCTGAACATATTGTGCTTGACTCTCATCGTGCTTTACCTACGTTTACGCAAGGGTTCTCAACGTTTTACTCGAGCACTTTTTTCGCTCAGAATATCTATTCATTTCGTTTCTGTATTTAGAAGGCATTACAAAGGGATAGAAATCCAAACGACTTGATAACGCATTCTGAACATTTCTTCAATAAAAATGGCATATAAATTTAGCATATAAAAGCAAAATTTTTTATATAATTATATATAGTCTGAAAAATTGTATTTAATAAATGACGTATTATGATTCAATTTTGTCTCAACTTCTGAAAATATCTGTTTGCATTGAAATGACAATTCATATGCCGTCTTACAATATACTGCTATTTATTATTAATATTATGTCGAAATGTCGAAATAATTCGTTTTATAAGGTTATATTTACAAGTTATTAACCCAAAATTATATTTGCAAAACTCTCAAAATATTTATTATTTACTTACATGTCAATTAATTAAATTTATGCATACGCATTATGTGATTACGTATAATTCACAAATTCTCAAATTTTCTTACAGATCAATCTTTTGTAATTTAAAATATCATGTACACAATATATACATGTAAATTTAAATCGTATATATGTGTTAAAATATTCGTTAAATACTTATGTTAAAATGTTGGAGATCTCAAGACTTAGGGGCTTGGAGAAAACAAATCTGTTTTCTCCCGTATTTCTGCTACATCTATTTCGAAATAGTGAGCGTTTATTTCGTTGATATTCACATTTCCAAGAACAAAACGTTGAAAATTATCGGCCAGACCTAATAGCTGATCCCGAATAGGTGAATATTTTAGCCCAGTTGTAGATTGCAATTTTTCAGGGCTTCGGATGATTTCGACCTTCAAACAAATTAATGTTTTATTTTATAACGATGAAATTGTATTAACAACTATTAGATTTAACAAATCGTTAATAGAATTCAAAAAAATTTATCATCGATTGTAAAGTATTGCGTCTGGATATCTTACCGTCTTTTTATTACATTTTTTACAAAAGTTCGTGCCTGCAATAGACACGTTATTAATAAGGTGGTAAAATATTGTCTCTTTCACTGATGCCAACGCTGTTACTTGGCTTGGTAGTTCAAGCGCGAGTTTAATTTGTTTATTAGCCTTTGCTTTATTGGGACATTGTAGGACCTGCTTTATTTTTATCTTGTAGATTTCATGTCCCGATATAGAAGAATAATAAAGTTCTAAAAATATTTATAAGAGAAACATAAAAAGATTATAGATATCAGCAAAATGTCATTGATTATTTTTAAAAAAATTTTCTATGTTTTTTGGTTTGTTATTAGCACGCACAGCATAAATGTATTAATATTAACGTTAAACAAGAAAAGGAAATTACTGAGAAGCAATAAAAGTAGTACAAATATTAGTTAAAAATTAAAATTAAATTTAACACCTGCCACATGCAGTATAACTTCAAATAGTATAATTAAAACAATATTCTTTATGTTAAAAAGCGAGTACTTGCCATCGCCAATGATTGTCACACCAAGGGGACCACCCACATAAGTAATATTGTAACCATTTATACTGTAAAATGTATCAGTCGGTTTCATGTTATCAGCTTCGATTCTGCACATACGCTTTGTAGATGAGTCATATACCACTAAACCGTAGCCTTGCATTTCAGCCATTATTATCTGTGTATATTTATGTGTGTATTGAATCATTTAAATCGTACAGAATACAGAGATATGTAATTAAACGTGTAGCTAAATAATATTTGCACAAACGAATATGTAGGTATTACTGTGATTAAAAGAGAGGTTATACTAACAATCGCTTCGTCCAGTAACCGACTGCATTTTCCGGGAACATAAACAACAGGCGTTACTAAATATCCAGAGCCCATTCGGTTAGTGGCGATATGAAGTGGGATGTTAATAGTTTTGACTAGCGTGTCATCTTTCAAATCGAAGATCAATACTTTTGGATTGCAAACTTGTTTGGGCCCGATTTTGCCGTTATCCAGAACAAAAATGTGATTGCATTGAATCTGAGGTGAAAGTAAAAATTCAATTTCATGTAATGTCATCAAACTGATTATGTATTACAAGCTGCATATATACATATATACAGCTTGTAATACATAATAAACCGTTGATCATAAATAATAATGTACATATAAATATAAAATGTGATAATCGTTAAATTCGGATGATATCAATACTTACATACACTCGATTAACGTTTACAATAGTATTGGGTTCACAGCTACTATCATGGAAACTCCAATCTGGATACGGACGTAAAATTGGACCTCCTGGTCCTATCTGATTAGTTACTGTCGCCAAAGTAGCAGGTGAATCAGGGCCCATTTCTCTCGGCGCAGTAACGAATAATCTACCATCTATAAGAATTTTATTTCTAACTGGAATTTACTGGAGAAGTTCTACTAAAAGATACATTTACTTTTGCGAATTTCAGTAACAATGCTAATTGTTGCATTAACGATATTGAAGTATATATCATGTATATATAATAAAACGTGTAGATCACATGTAATGTATATTAGTTAAATTATTAACCGTAAGTCTTCGATAATAAAAGTATTCATATTTCCGTACAAAATCATTTCAACTTTTTCGAACTCTAGTCTCTTGTATTAACCTACCTCTTGCTTTGTCCACATCGTATAACAGGCATTTGGTTGGATCGTAACGGCCAGAATTTATTGCGTCTATTTTCTGCTCCGGACTGTCCCATTCAAAATCAACATATTTCCATTCCTTTTTAAAATCCACTTTAATTCCAAAGCTTGTAATCGCCATCGACAGAATTAGCAGGGCCAACAAAGACTGCTCCATTTTTTTTATCGTAGCGGATAACTTACAATGTTGTGCTGCTCAAGATTAAAACGGGATTCCCCGTCAGGATACGATTTGTTTTGTGAATTAAAATTCCGAGATATATTGCATAGGTGTCTTTTTAATCAAACATTAATTAAAAAGTTATTCTATTAATAGAGTTGTTGTTTTATCTTCACTGTAACTAATTTTTTGATGTAATCACAGCGAAAATATTACAGTAAAATGCTGCCAGAATCTCATAAGTTTATTCGCATTATTTAGATTTTCGGGAGAAAAAAACAGTTCTGTGTCCCAATTAATGTTTCTACTTAAAGTTTTCGCAACAAATCGCATTTGCTTGTGAAATGCAATCATGCTAATTAACAAATTTTTGAAGCTGTGTCTTAATGATTAGGTCTATTTTGATTTTTAAGCTTTGCAATAATAAAATAATATATTTTCTATATAGACACGCATATCACAAATGGGAGTGCGATGAAAGTCATTTGTCTTTTGTATTTTTTTCTTTCCGCAGTATATACTGCAGTAAAAGTTTTTAAAAAATATTATGTATCCTATATTCTCATAATAATACCGTCATTAAATAACGTATATAACTTTAATTGTAGCTTCATTAAAAATCTTTCGATTCGGCTTTATTATAACAATGATATGTAATTACGCTAAGTACGCGTGCATAATTACATTTAGTATCTTATCAATGGCGCCGTTAAAAACGGAAAGTAATGCATTTTTTTTTTCAAATTGTAAAATAAAAATCTCCCTGAATTTTTCTGAATCAAAATCCAAATTTGCACTTGATGTCCTTCGTTAAAACACGTAACTACACTTTCAATGTATAGTGATATATTTATTATTTTTAATTGTAATTGTTTTGCGATTCAATTATATATTTTTATAATAGCACAGTTATCATGCTCTTTTTTATGGCTTTAGTAAAAAATAGATGAATTTTATGCGTAATTAATATGACACATTAGCGTAATAGAGAACCCTTGATATGAGGAGCGCACTCGCATCTTTGTGAACTCAGCATGACTGCCGCTCTTTCGACGATCCGTCGAACCGCAATCTCAGGAATTCTACTCTTCGTGTTTGACATTGATAGGGTATGCATCGCCTCCGACTCGCGTTTGGAAAAGTATGAGCAGGGAGAAGGAATGGCAAACGAGAGCGATGAGATTGCCGCGTGCGCTTAACGAGACGTCGAATAAAATGCAGGCGTTATATTGCCCGTCGCGATTTCGCATCTTTGATAAATGATTTTCGTACTACTCGCTGCTCGCATTTATTTAGTCCCGTTCCATCAATTCGCGCGCATGCGAATTTTATGCACGATTAGATGTTATAAATATAATTGTAGTTTTTGACTATTTAAGGGCGGCAATTAGGAAATGTGTTATTATTATTAAAATCTAAATTTCGAAGAAGATAAAAAAATGATCAGAATCTTTGAATGCCGTAAAACGGATATCTAAATACTTTAGTATACAGTTTTTACTATCTTTTTCAGCGATATTTTTAAAAACCATCTTTATATTATATCATTTTTGTCGTTAAAGTTGACAGAATCGTATTAATAAAATTATAATATTATTATAGACATTCCCTTGATAAAATCTACTAATAAAGCAGAAAATTAAGTTATTATACACATTTTCTCGTCAAGTCTATTATAGGTTTATTTGTAAGTACCTTCTTTCAGAGTAAATTATACTACAAGTACATATCAGACGCAAACGACGAGGGCAATTTAGAGCAGAATGCGTGTACTGACGATGGATGAGGAGGGTAGGAAAGTGATTGAAGGACATCTCATAGCCGTGGGCCGAGCCCTGATTGGTTTGACGGGATTTAGCCCCTGTAATGCCAAACTCGACGTCTGCTGTTGCGGTCGGCTCCGGTCGAGGCATTATCGGGGGTTGTTAGGGCTAGTATACCGTAAACATGCCTCTCGTTCTAAACCGTCCGACGTTTTGAAACTTGCGTAAACGTCGAGCGATTTTCGTAATTGGGTCGAAATTGCTTATAATAGTTTACACCTTAAAAAAAAATTGAAGTTTATATCGCGACAGTAAATGGAATAACATGTGCTTGAACGAGTTACGAGTATCAAAGAAAGCAAAAAGAAAGTAAAAAAAGGAAAAAAAGAAACATTTTTTAATGTTAAAAATGTTATGTGTATATAAACAAGGTTTTTTTAATAAGATTAAATAAAAGACTTAGAGAAAAAATCGCAGGTGTTGAATCTTACTAATTTTGAAGAACTGCAAAATGAAAAATTATTGCAGTTTTGTATTGCTTTCTGAATTGTTCTGTTTGAATTTTCTTTTTGCTTTTTACGCACACATGAATTCGTAATTCGTATGCTTCATTAAAAAATATAAAATAATTCTAAATATTTAAGGAATTTTATTTTTTCTTTACGATAATATGGTATATTATAATATTCTTTATAATTAATTTTTTTAAATTGATAATAAATCGAGAAATATAAATAATTGTTGGCGTTCAATATATCATATACAGTGTTTGTAAGATGTCTTGTTTGATTTCGAGGGTATTTTTAAGGCGCGTGCAACCGTATTCGCGAATGAATCCGCGTATACGGCGATCGTATTTCTAGGGTTCGTGCCCATCTCGTGCCCTCTTTCGTATTCCATCCTATTCGAAAGGGCTGCATTATAAATCGTGTGAAATCCAAGTGTCTGACCTCGATCGGCAGCGGTGAATCTCGCCGTTAGAGGGTAGAAAGACGAAAGAGAGAACGAGGGACGCGGTCGGGGGTGTGCGAGCGGAAGAAAACCGAGTGAGGGAAAGGAGATTGCGGGAGCAGAGGGAGAATCATCGTGCGAATTTTACGCTAACCCGATAGCTGGTTGGAATAGATTACATCGATCGGCAAAATCTATCTATGCGCGGTTGACGGTTCTGTAAACGGTCGAGACATTGTCAGCGCATTGCGCGTGCACCATTCATTCCGCGATAACCGCGTTTCCTTTTGCTGACAGGTTGTAATTAAGTAAAAAAAAGTATTTTTTATTCGTATATTATTTTGCAAGAGAGTAAGAGATCGAAGGGTAATCGAAACAAAAAAGAAATTAAAAAGTTATTACTGTTTTGTTCTCTTATATTATAATTTATAAATTGTTATTAAAGGGATAATTAATTAATTAATTTTATTATTATTTTTTTATTGTTTATTTTAATAGTCTATGATTTGGATAACCACCGATTTATCATTAATTTTAGATAACCGTTTCTAAAATAATATATTTAAATTCGTATATTTACAATTTTTTTTATATCCCATTCAAATATTCAGAGAAATCGCTGCAAAAAAATTCTATTTTTTCTAATAAAAAAAAAATTCCACATTTTCGTACATACATTTTATAACAATATTCCGACATCTATATGCAAATGTAGACGTGTGGAGAGTGATAAATTTTGCATATCTCTGACCACTTGCCTTTTAATAAATATAAAATACATCTCGTCTTTATATTACACGAGACAATTACCGCGATTACACGACTCTTATGATTTCAATCGTAAAATTACTTTACGCAGGTCAACTTTGTATTTAATCACGTTACAGCTTACAATGCCTTGCTTACGATATAATCGTGCGTTAAGAATTTTCGTATGTTTCTTTGTACTGTCGCGGTATATAGCGCGAAACAATGAATTTATTCTACTTTTGAACTCATACCTTTACAATCTCGTTAAAATACGCGGTAATTAAATTAACTTTTCTGCGAGAAAAATGTTGCGCAGCCGAGAAAATTCGAGCTTCTGTAGATATTCTTATGCACAGAATTTCAAGGGAAGAGATTAAAAATTTTGCAGCATGTAATATAACACCTACGGAGATTACAAAAAGAGTTTTGTCTGACATATGAGATATCCGTCTGTCTTATCTCATTTAGGAATTTCTTGAAATACATTCTTTAAAATATTTCGGATGAAAAAATATTTTAAATTGAAGAAACTAAAGCTCCCATGAATAAATCAGAAGTAATTAAAATAAATAGAAAGTTTTAATAACTAAGAAACGAGCAAGCTAAAATGTGACATGAAATCAACGAAATTAATATTGATAAATAATAATTTAATGTCAAATAAAACACAAAATTAAAACGTTTTGGACTGCACAGTTTTTTTCAGTTAAAAAATAAAGGTTGTTACAATAAGTTAAAATTTAATAAATTAATAAAAATCATATATAAAAACTTAATTTTGTCAATTACTAATTAAATCATGAAAAAAACTAAAAAGTCTAAAACAATGAACGTTACATAAATTATGTCGCATATAATATCTCCGTAATCAATACATCGCATATAAAAATCTCGGCGCATGTTTTACCTTCGCTTTTTAAAACATTTTTAATTTAATATAGCTTGATCGTTATTGGTGATCCGAAATTAAAATTTCTTCGTTAAGCAATCTTATTTTTGTAACTTCGCGTACTTTTTTCAGCTATTAATGATCAATATATCAAAACGCAGCTAATGACCAAAAGCTATTTTGTGTAATTGTTTGAAGTTTCTATAGCTGATACAAATATTTCATTAAATAATATTATATCAAGTTATTATATAATCAGTGATTATCAAATTGAATTATAATACCTATTTTAATACGCAGCAGAATATGTGTTATTATAACATCATTCTGATTGCCGTTTTTATTGTAACAACAATGAAGTTAATCTCAGTTGGAATAAACTCAATGAATTTACTAACTTTTTTTTTTTATAACTCGCGTTCATGTCGGTTACATCGGGCAATTCTCGTGCTTTCGAGACTCCTATCGGAAAACGCGCTTATTTCGCTTCCTCGAACTCCCTCGCAATTAGTCGAATTAATTACGCAGCATTATAGTACGAATAAAATGCGATCTCGGCATTTTCCGCGTCGCAGCCGCGCGAAATTCCTTGTTGCGAATAGCGACGGTAAAAAGTTTTCCCACTCCGCGATCGCGAACTTTCCGAAAGTACCCGCGCTCTTTCTCGCAACGGATCGGA